TTTAATTTTATAAATTGATTTTTACAATCTTCCCTGTAACCTAAACCAGGCATAATTCTAACAGCTTTTCTCTGATGAGCGAAAACATTCTTAAAAGAAGTCGCATGTCCCCACACAAGTATTGCATATGAAATATTGGACTGAATAAAACTGTGATAAGCCACCTTCAAGGTATTCAATGATACTTTACCTAGCAGACTTCTAAGAAGATGAAGGTACATATATTTGAATATTTTTTTACATATATAATTCAAATAGAAGAGAGAGAGAGAGGGAAATGATGTCATGTAGAATAAGCCGATCAATTAATTTTCAAAATTTTGGACAAATACCTTTTTGTAAATTAACTTGTTTCCACAATATCATGTAATACGCAACCCAGTTATTTTTTTTTAATATAATTTTAGATACTTACATTTCTGATATTTAGGTATCATTTTACTTTCCCAAGGAGGAAAAACTTAAGAAAATGCCGAAAATCAAGTTATCCAGTAAACAAATACATATAATAATAATCTCAAAGTAGCAATGGTATATTTGCAAAAGAGATAATATTGTTCTATTTTACAACTACAAATACACAATGGCTTGTATGACATTTCCTTTACCCATATGACTAAATAAATTTAGTTACTCATATGCCTTTACCTACCTTTCCTAAAAATAACTTCATGTGATGGAAATTATAACGCTAAAGTTTGTATTTGCAAACAGTGTACAAATACATTTCGAGTTTACAACTGTTTATGCTGACATGATATTACATAAAATTTTTTGATTTGCCTCAGTGGCGGTTCGTCGGGTGACGCAAGTGACGCACCGCTTCACCTAAAATTTCCGTTTGGTTGTGCAATTTAAAATTATTTTTAATTTTATATAAATTTTATAATTTAGGTATAATTCTATATTGAAAATGTATTGTGTTTGTTTGTCTTATACGCAGAAATAAACAGAATAATTCGGCGATGAACGTCTTCTAAAAAATAATTGCCTTTGTTGAGCGCGAACATCAACCTCTTACCATACAACGTATAGTATACGCAAGTGACTTATATTGAAATTGGTATGTATCTGCTTCTCTCCGTAGCTCTCCGTACGGCGGTCAACTACGGCGTGGGAGAACGAGTGATGCAAAAGTTCAAGCAGCATTCTCATCGGCTCATCGGCATCGCCCAATCGCCCATCGCCTGTCTATCGTGTTTAAACATATACGATACTTTGCCCAGTGCACGGTTATAACGGTTCTTTATTAATATTTGTTTTGTACCAGTAATTTGTAGAAATGTTTCCTATGCACGATCATGTATGTATTTTATTGGAAATGCCATTTTCCAGATGGAAAATTGAGGACAAAAAAGATTTTTTAAATTGCGGAAGACCTGTGCCTTCTCTCGATCTGGAAAAAAGGGGGAGGTTAAAAGACAAAGTGTATGTTCGGAAGTTTCGGAATGAATGGTATTCGGAGTATAAGTGGTTGTGCGGATGTTTTTCGATTACTGATATTCTTTTTGATGTGTTACAAAAACGCTCACTAAATATTAATTATTGTGTCACAAATTAAAAATACCCAGAAACTTTTAAATGAAAAAAGAAACGAGAGGAATTTTAAAGAAATATTTGAATTAAGAAGCATAAAAGTGCCAGTACCAGTTAATTGTCGTGATGGACGAAAAACTTCGACAGTTCCTAAAAATTTTTTTTAATATGGCGAATTCGCCGCACGAGTCGAACTAATATATCTATTTTTTATAAAATTTAAATCCTTTTCGCCAACGTCAGTTTTTCGGTAATATAACAAATGCAACTAAAATTTCCAGATTCATTTAAAGCCGTTTGACCTTGAAAAGTTTCGCCTGCGGCGCTTTTTTTTAATCAATCAATAAATATGCTTCACCTATTTGCAATGTCACGAGCCACCACTGATTTGCCTGTAACTATAATACCGGCTATATTATATATTTGAAGATTATTTGGATAATATTCCATATTGCCAACGTACAAACGATATGGAATATGGGCACGTGACAAATATTTCCCTAAATATAATTAATTAAAAAATATCTGAGGTGAATATTTGTAAAGGCGGCTTTCAATTGTATCGATATGCAATATCCACACGATATGGCATTTGTTTACGTTTCTCAAATATTTGGAAACATCTAATAAAATACAATAACACAATTTAAAATATTGAGCAATATTATACATGTACATACATACTAACCATATCCCGATACCTATTCAAAATTATGCATCAACAGCGACATCTCTGGGATGCTTACTTTTGTGTGTACTATAAACCGTGGTCTGTGCTATAAACCACACGGCATATAAAACCGGATTCTTGTCACACAGATGCGAACTTTGAAATGGGGATGTTATTTTTATAAGCTAATTTAAAAAATAAAATCTTGTTTTTCATTAAAATTAACCAATTAGAACAATATTTACCTACCGCTTATGGAATAAAATATGTTCCATCTAGATAATTTTAATTGCAAATTACCAATAATTTCCCACAGCAACAACGAAATAGGTCGTTCTGCTTGTAAACCAAATAATATTTTTACAAATTCGCCTCAGCGTTTACTTTAGTACCATAGATTATCACAATTATTACATTAAATAAGAGAGTTCTCCTTCATCGCCCGTAGTTTGAGGTGAGCTTAGGTCATCCGTGTCTAGAGGGTACCCCTATCGAAGCTGTTAGATACACGTTAGATTTGTCTCTTCAACTTTTCACTTTTTATTCAACAAAATTATAATAAAAATTAAGAGTAGGTACCTAATTCGGTTTTATATAAAATAATATAATTTTTAATTTTTCACCAGGCACTCTCAATATACATCCAAAGTGTTTTTTTGAACATTAATTTTGGAAACTGCAAAATAGTAGTAGCACAGAATATATAGCTAGCGTAGCTATATATTCTGTGGTAGTAGGTATGTAAAGCAAAAAGTTAGAGAAATCTCCCAATATCTTGAGTTTCAATATGTTTTGAAAAATAATACCTTGCCTTTTTCTTGTTTATTTTTCGTCTTTGCTCAATATTTTGTAGTCTATTTGCAAAAAATATTTAAATTACTTTTCATTTAGTATTTCTTATAATCGGCAATGGCTATCCAACATCAAAATGATTCAACATCAACAAATCATGCACAGCCTAAAGACGATGATTTATAAAAGGAAAAGTTCTGAAGAAGAGAACACATTTTGAAGGTATGTTTGATTTTCGCTTTAAAGACACACGTACCGTACAGGGTGTAACTAAAATACAGGATCAAATTTTAAGGGGGATTCGACAAGCAACAAAAGAGTTACTATAAAATGTGCTCAGTCTTAAATTCCAAGACACAGGATGTTAAAAAATCTATCGATCTTCTTAAATTACATAAAATGGCTCATTGAAGTTTTGAATATAGCTTTATTAGTTTCTTACTATCTAAACACCACTATAGCGGCTGGTGAAAATTGGTGGGGTCATATTTTTATTATAAAGCATGGGACCTATATCGTGTTTTAGGAGATGATTTCTAGGCCAACTAAAAAAATTTTCCTAATAAACAAATTTCGAACAAAATTTGCGAATTAAGAAATTAAAAACAGAGGAGCCCTCCTTTAGGATCTTGAAAAAAGTTGCACGTAGGTATATGTATCAAATTTTCTTCATTAAAATTATAATTTGATACTAACATTCTATTTTTCAAATTTCATAACATTGAGAAAAATGATAATTTTAAGAAAATGAAAAAAACGGATATATGTAGGTACCTATCAGTTTGCAAAAAAAATTTTTGCTGATATATGTGCAACCTATTTCGAGATACACCGGGGAACTCCCCCTATTTTTAATTTATATTGCAAATTTTGTAAGAAATTTTTTCATCATGAAAATTCTCTGTGCCTAAAAATCATCTAAAAAACAATACGAGTCATATACTCTTTATAAAAATATGATCACTTCAATTTTCACTGGCCATCATTGCTAAAAACATAATATAAGTCTGTCACAGTCTTAAGGGTTTTCCGAAAACTGTTTCTTTATTGCATGTTGTTAGATTGCACCTTTTTTGAGATAAATAATAAAATATTAGACCATTTATTACCTGTCGTCACATGATTGATTAGATAAAACAAAAGGTTATTTCTAGACAACAGTAATAGTGGTAACTCACATTGTTACTTGAATTTTCTGAGTATCACTTTTTATTTTGCAACTTACCCTGCACTGAGTTATGTTCAAGTTCCTGATTTCAAATGCCATAGTTTACCGGAGTATGTGTTACGTCATGGTAACATGATTAATTTTCACGTTTGAATATTGTTGACTGTTAGATTATCCAGTTATATTGATAAGCTGCTTAGAAACTGACTTTTCCCTTTCAAATGCCACATATACTCTTCAAAACAAGACATTGAAAAGTACAATTCAAGAAGTATTGTAAATAAATATGTTAAGAAATAAAATTGCTCTTCACTTTTCACTTTTTAGGACCCAAGTGAAAATGTAATAAAACAAAAAAGACTGCACATTCCATTTTGTCACTTTGCTTTTCAACTTTTCTCTTTTATTTTTTGAACCGTACAAATCATAAAACAGTAAAAAAGTGAAAAAACCAGTACATCTAAATGCTAGCGTCAAAAACTAAAATATTTTATTACTTAGTCTTATTTATATTATGTATAAACAGGGTTTAAAATGGTATAATAAAAAAAGTAAGAATATAATAAATGTAATAAATAAATGTGATTTTTCAAATTTGATATCGTTGACATTCAAGTGATCTGGATATTGACAGCTTGAGCTTTCGTAAACTTTCAGAAAAACTTCAGCATTGTATTAATTTATGCAGTACGTTTATTTAAAAAGTCAATGCTATATTCAGAGTAAGACAAAACAAAAATTTAGTCTTTATATCCAAAAAAATCATAATAGTGCACAATATACAAAAAAATTTGTTAAAAACTATAAAAATTATTAAAAAAAAAAACAGGGCATGTTCTTAATTTTCTTATTAAATTTAAAATAAAACATTACATGTATACATCTTACATATGTAAAAAAAGTGTTATGAATATTCAAATCGTAAAACTGAAACTAAAATCCGTGTTACCTCAAAAAAAAATATGGAAATGTTAACAGTATCAATTATAATAAAATAATCTTAACACTATCAGTTAATTTGTACATTTGAATATACAAAAACCATTTGAAATATTTGTATTATTTAATAGGTTGCTTAAATCTTTCTAGCCTTCTTTTAGCCTTTTCACTGTCGGACAAAGCACCATTTGTATTTGTGACAACTCCAAATCGTGCCTTTCTTTTCTCTAGTTTCTCTTTATTTTCTAAACTAGACATAATAGTGGACACGGATCCCCCAAAACGTTCAGCTCTTTGCTTAAGTACATCAACACTTGTGTTCTGAAACCAAATGATAAGTTTAGCCTTTTTCTAACAAATGCACACTATAAGAATTGTTTTTAAAGAATATTGAAAAATCTTACATCGAACATAAGTAAGTTTATAACAAATCTACTTTTTCATAAGCAGGTCTTTTTACCTTAGATTATTAAATATATCTAAAAATATAAATACTTACAACTTTTTCAGAACTAATATTGGAAGAATTTGAATTTATACCAAATCTTTCAGCTCTTACAACTTTTTTAGCATCAGCACTTAATGCAGACACACCAAATTTCTTAGCCCTCATCTCCAAACGCTACAAAAAATTACTGTTTATTAAATCATATCATTAAGTATATATATATTTACCTCTTTAGCACTTAATTCTGACAATTTTATAACTTTTTTTTCTGGCTCTATATTAGTTATATTCTTAGATTCAACTGTTTTATTTTCTTCATTGAGTTTAGGAGTTTCAACACTGTTACTATTATTTCTGTTCAAAATAACTTTTTTCGGAGGTCCATTTTTTGTTTCTATATGAGTCGTTTCCTCAATTTTTCTTTTTTGCGTCTTGGGTGAATCATCCAAATCATTCTCAAGAATAACAGACTCACTTGCATCTAAATGTTCATCGTCATCATCCTACAAATACGTTTATGAAAAAAAAAATAATGTTAGCATAGAAAAATTGTTACGTTTAATAAATCTTCCTCCAGATCGTCTACTGATTCCTGGCCCATGCCATCAGCAGATTTCATTGCAGATTGTAGTCTTTCTATCAATTCGTTCTTATTACCGGTTGTACTTAAACCCCTTAGTTTTAATTCTTTCTTCAAATCAGGAACCTATAACAGAAAAATATATATGGTTAACCTAAAAAATTTTTACATTTTGTAAATAACATATTTATAAGATGAAATAAATACACTTCTTAATAATGCAAACTCGATATTAAATAGATCTATCTACCTTAAGTTTGGATATATCCAACGAAATATCGGTCAAAGATTCATCCGCCATTTTCAAAATTTACAAATAGAAAACATTTCACATTCCATTCTGTTCACCTGAACTACTTTTGAACCGGTTATAAAATGACAGCTGAAAAAAAATATGTGAACCGCAAAAAGATTGCTTCCACAGTT